CCTTCCAGCCCGTCCCTCTGCTCTCCCGTGACCTCGGTGGCTTCCTGGTGTGGTCCGCGGTGCCTCCCACCATGTACCACTGTCCTCTCCCAGTATCCCCCAGTACCTTCCCTGATTCACCAGCGGGCCGCGCTATGCCTCCAGTCCCTCCCACTGCACCTTGCTGCCCCCCAGTGACTCCCAGAATATCCCACTAAGCTCCCAACCCATCCCAGTATGCCCTATTGCCTCCCAGTATGTCCCACTGCGTTTAGTCTACCCCAGTGTAGCCAGGTGTGTCCTACTGCCCACTCTCCCAGTCTATCCCAGTACCTCCCAATATGTCCTATTCCCCCTTCAGTGAGTCCTAGTCCATCCCAGCACCTCTCAGCCCACCCCAGTGCCTACCAGAATGTTCTCCTCCCCCCCCCAGTGCCTCCTACTGCCTTCCAGTACTATGTCCTAGTCCAGTATGTCCCCCAGAGCTCCACAGTCTGCCCAAGTGCCTCCCTGTAAGTCCTATTGCCTCCTCCCAGTGCATGCCACTACATCTCAGTCCACCCCAGTGCCTCCCAGTATGTCCTACTGCTCCCTTCCACTGCCCCCCCAACATGGCCAGGCATCTCCCAGCGCCTGGTCTGTCCTCCATGTCTGTTACCCCACCACCTTGGGGTGCCACAGCTGCCCCCCAACCACACATGGGGCAGCCCCTGCACCACCCAAAGCCCCAGTGAAGCCTTGAGTAAGGCCACGACCAGTGCAGCTCTTCCCCTTCCTGACCCAACCTTGTTCATCCTTGCAGGCTGACGAATTCATCCGAGCGAATGCCTGCAATAAATTGACCGTCATCGCCGAGCAGATCCGGTACTTGCAGGAGCAGGCTCGGAAGGTACGGACGTGTCTGCAAGCTGGGCAGAGGGTGGTTGCCGTGTGCTCGCGAGGGGAGGGAGACTAGTGTCCGTTTTAATTGCTGGACACTTGGGCAGAGCTGTGGCTGGGGTGTGAATCATGGCCTGGAGCCAAGCAGAGAAGGTTCAGTGGGAAAATAATGAGGGTTTATTGTCTGGTGTCAGCTGGGAATGGAGGGGGGATGTTTTCAGTGCTTTTCCCAAGTCCTCAGCACACCAGGGAGAACTTCTGTTAAGGTGGAGGAGCGAGGGCAGCCAGTCAAAATCAGCTGGGCTGTTAGGAAGGACAGAGAGATGACTCTGGTTTGGGAACAGACAACTCCTGTCACTGTATTGTGTGTGTTGTGCTCCCGGGAGGACTCGGAACAGTGGGATGATGACGTGGATCTGAGCCCCTGGGAGAAGATGAGCTGTTACCTGATGATGGGCTTGGCTTTCCAGTTTGTCCCAGCTTATTTGCTAGAGCAGGTGGCCCTGGCAGCAAGCCCAGCGGGGCTCAGATGTCCCCTTCAATTCAGACTTCACCCTTGGGGGTGAAATCTCGGAGCCTGAGTGGGAAAGGATCTGCCAGTCACTGCGACTGGCCTGCTGCCATCAAGGCCACTACGTCATATAATCGTTAACTGGTGGAGCCGGAGCTGTGGAGCAGTCAGCTGGTGGAGCTGGGGAGATGAATTCCCCTTTGTTTGCTGTCCTTTCCCCAGGGGACTGCAGCAGGGAAGCCCCCAGGGTCCGATAGCTGTGTACGGAGACGAATGAGTTCAGCATGTGGTGGGGTCAGGCACAGAGGTGAACCTGGGGCTGTGGTGAAGAGGTCCTTGATGCTTGGAGGTATCTCCATCTCCAAGGAGGGGTGCAGGAGCTCTGAGGTCCAGCTGACAGGGGAAACTTGGAGAAAACTTTATCTCTTTGGAAAAACATCTCCTTCCTGGGCCAAGTAAAGGTGTGCTGCGTGAAGCCTGATGTGCACTGAAGAGGATGATCCTTTTGAGCCGTGTGTCAAGCGATGTGTCTTGGGCTCTGGCTGAGAGGCAATAGTGTGCTGTCATTTTATTTCAAGAGTGGAAATTTAAAATTTGATTTTCAGGTCTTGGATGAAGCTAACAGAGATGCTGATCTGCACCATGTGGCCTGCAACCTCGTGAAGAAGCCAGGAAACATTTACTACATGTACAGGCGGGAGAGTGGCCAGCGATACTTCTCCATCCTGTCTCCTAAGGTGGGTGGTAACAGCCTCTGAGGAAGCAGGGAGGGGGGGAAAAAAAATCCACAGTTTTGGTGCTTGGGCACTTCTGGACAAAAGTGCCAGCTCGATGGGAGCATTTGTAGGCCTGTGCTGAATTGGTGTTTGTCCTTGGTCTGAGTTACCCTGCTGGTGTAAGGGTCATATTATGAAGTTCTCTTGGACCTTGGTAGATGGTGGACCTGAATTCTGCCTTTTGATCCCTGCAGTTCTTTCTCTGGAACTGCAAATGTGCCCTGGGCCTTCCCTGTCCGGTGTGGCTGTCTGGCCACAGTATGGTCTTCTCAGGGGCTTCAGTCCAGGGAGTGAGTTTGTCTGCAGCTTGGCAGGGGTGGTCTTGGAGGTATTCTCCTTCCAGGCCACCCGTTTTCTTACATGCAGGGTTAGGGCTTCAGAGCAAAGCACCGAGCAGGTAGAGGAGCTCTGTGCAGGTCAGGGAGATCTTGTATCCCCAAGCCTCCCTGTGCCAGCACCACTGTAGCTTGACCTGGGCTTAGACTTGAGGTAATTGAACCTATTTTTAGGTTAGAAAATGGGATGGTCACGTAGGTGGGACTGCTTCGAAGGTGGTAGGGCTATCCAGTGGGAGCAGAGGTTGGGCTGGGGGACAGCACAGCCCAGCTCCAAGGGAAACTGAGCAGTGACATGAATCTCTCCTTTTCCTCCAGGAATGGGGGACCAGTCCCCACGAATTTCTCGGTGCCTATAAGCTCCAGCACGACATGTCCTGGACTCCGTTTGAGGACATCGAGAGACGAGATGCTGAAATAAACATCCTGGATAAGCTGCTGAGCCGGCAGGCAGCGCTGCCCCCATCTACAGAGCCCAACTTCCAGGGCCTGACCAAGTGACGCAAGTGACCATATGGGACCCCCTGCACAGAGTCCCTGTGTGAGGACACGCAGTGCCTGCGGGCTGCCAAAGGCAGGGCAAGGAAAGAGACCAAAACCCCAAAATGCTGATGCTGCCAGTACTTGCTCTGTGCTTTAAAGAGACTAATTCTGCATTCAGCCTTACTGGATTTTCTAGTAATTGAGTAATTTATTTCTTTGACTTATGCCAAGCTGTAGCGAGAGGCAGATATTATCAGATGGAATCAATTCCAAGAGGGCTTGGGGCAAAAAGCAAAAACGCTTTGGGGCAGATGTGATAATGCTATAAAATATGTCCTACCTGTCCGGCTCTGCTGTACCTCACTGCGACTACCTGTGGCAGGTAATGATTGCAGGGCTGGATTTTGCCTCTCGTTTAAATGCTCGTATTTAGGAAGCTCTGTGGCCTGGGGAGAGTGGTCGAAACCCCGCGCGGAAGGGTCTGTTGTGACCACAGTCTGTTGGTCTCTGTCCCAGCTGGTCCGAAGCCCTGAGTCTGTCACATGGGGGTGACCTGGAACTCTCGTCTCTGGGAAGAGCATCCTCAAAAGTGCCATGTAGGCTTCAGGTGCTCTTCACAAGGTGGGTGTTTCACAGTCCTCCTGTGTTCCCTTGGCTTCGAGTGATTGAGCTGTCAGGGCGAGAGAGGAACGTGCAAGGACACTGAAGAATCTCTGTGCCAAAGCAGTGGAGAAAATAAATTAAATCAGTCTTGATCTCAAATGTACCTCCGAGACAGGCCCTGCATCCTGTCTGCATGGCAAGCATCCCTTTGGCTTTGCCAGGGAGACTTGGTGGGACATGGGGCAGGTAGGACATCTCCAGCCTTTCTTTTTCCACCAAGAGCTGGGGAGAGACAAAGATCAGACCTGCTGAGGAGGTGTCCCCCCTTTGTCCAGCCACACAGGGCTCCTCCAGAAGCTCACCTGCTCTGCGAGGAGCCGAGGTGGGAGAAGGGCATGTCCAGGTTGGATGCCAGCATGTAACATCAAATCTGGTCAGATCCTCTCATGACTTTTTCACCTCCCCAAAATGACAAGGTAGTGACCTTATGTGCTGCTCAAGGTGCTGCATGCGCACACTGGCCTTTGCCTCCTCCTCCGCTGGCGGTGTGTGAAAGTTGAGGACCATTTGTGGAACGGGAATTGTGGCCTGAGGGTCTGGGCCCACCAAGGGTAGAGGTGGTGCTTCTTGGTGGAGCCCAACCACAAGTGCAATTGCTCCACCAAGAAGCACCACCTCCACCCACATTTGCAGTTGGTCTCTCCTCACTTCTGAGGTGGTGATGGAAGTCACCTCCCCAAAATACCTTATGTGTGGCTCAAGGTGCTGCATGCGCACACTGGCCTTTGCCTCCTCCTCCGCTGGCGGTGTGTGAAAGTTGAGGACCATTTGTGGAACGGGAATTGTGGCCTGAGGGTCTGGGCCCACCAAGGGTAGAGGTGGTGCTTCTTGGTGGAGCCCAACCACAAGTGCAATTGCTCCACCAAGAAGCACCACCTCCACCCACATTTGCAGTTGGTCTCTCCTCACTTCTGAGGTGGTGATGGAAGAGTGGTGTCCTCAGCACCAAGCGACCTTCCCAGGCGTTGCCCCATCTCTCTTCAACCACTGCCGAGGAAGACACTGCTGCCTTCAGCTCTGCTGGGTGATGCCTGACTCGATTTGGGGCTAAGTCTGCATGTCAGGCTTGGATCAGTTCATGCAGATGCTCTCAAAATAATCAAATTTAACTCCTCTAAACTTCCTTGTTCCCTTTCTAGCGTTGGTTTGTTCATCTTACACTGAGTCCCCGGAGCGTCCTGCTCCTCACCTGAAGCTGGGAGGGGTTTGGGTGCCCCACCGGTGTCCTGTAAAGGAGAATGCTGCAGCATTGTGTCACCCTTGACTCATGCATCTCCATCTCAATGTCTGAACTTACTGCTTCAGGTTAGGTGCTGCAGCAACTCTGCCGAGGGGAGGGAGGACCTCTTCGCATCCCCAAGAGACCCTTGGGGACCAGCACTGTCATTGGGGCTTGCCATCGCTGCAGTTTATTCCCCCTTTGTCAGGGCACAGCCTCTCCTCCGGCCTCCAGTCCCCCTCTCTCCTGGTCCCTGTACCCCTGGCACACCCTGGGAGTTGCCTTGAGAGAAGCTCGGGGCTGCTGGCGGCACCGATTCCTCATGGGAAGAGCCGTTCACTGCCAGGATCCCAGAGGGATGGGAGGTTTGAGACAGCTCTCCGGCAGCCCAGGACTTTTTTGGTTTTGTCCTAGATCTTCTCCCAGCTCTGCCAAGTGTAGCTCAGCCTCATCCCAGCATGGTTGAGCCTCTGGTTGGCAGGAGCCCTGTCCTTGGAGTCACCGTGGGACATTTCAAGCTCCTTTTCTCCAGCTTCCTCACTTGGAGCACAAGAGTGGATTAAAAACAATGTATTATTATTATTATTATTATTAGACCATTGTATAATTAATTCCTTATCGAGTTACAAGTGTCTAATTTGATGGTATTTTTCCCTGCTTGTTTCACCACCCCAGGTCTTCTTTTACTGCATGTTATTAAATCTTAACTTGGAAGGGAGAAAGTTAATTACTGCATGGGCTTTGCCATGGTGCTAATTACAGCAACGTCGGCGATCTTCACAGGTGTTGATTTATGCTCCTCTGGGAAGAGGGGGTTCCTGCCCCAGTTTTATCTCTGTTTCCCATCATTAAAATCTGTACAGTGACAGGCGTGAGGGGATCACGGTGATGTCCGTAGGGCTCTGGTGGGATGTCACGCCTGCTTTCCAACCTCTCCAGCAAACACCCCTGACCCTCCGGACCCTGTAACTCCTTGGTGTCCTGCAGTTCCTCTGCGCACTGGCAACTCTTTTTCCTGGATTTGCCCCCCAAAAGCCAAACCAATGGCTGTAGCTTTGAAAATACACAGAAGGAATGGAGAGCCAAGACTTGGAGATGGTGGGCTCTGCACTGCGGGAAGCGGGGATGCTGCTGCCGAATGGTCCCACTGCAGCACAGGGAGGTGATGCTGGGAAGGGGGATCCGTTCCCCCGAAACAGCTTGCCTGGTGTTGCCATCTCAGCTGGTTTGGGATGTAGTTAAACCTAAAGAGCTGAGGTGACGTCAGAAATTCTGGAAGGTGCTGCCGTGGAGCTGAGCGACCCATCCCGTGGCAAACAGGCAACGATGGAGCCGGTGGCAGAAAGATGAGCCAGAGCCTCCTGCAACGCTTGCAACGAGGATGAGTTTCTGGAGAACTGAGGAGATGGTGCTTGGTGGAGGATTCCCCGAGTCCCTTGAGGCTCATGGTCTCACTTGCTTGGCTCAGCCTCTACCAAGCTGTTGCAGTTATGGGTTTTTGGCTTGACAGGACAGGGTTTAATCCAAAAATCAGCTGGGAAGAGTTAGCAGGTGTGGTGCTGGAGGGCAGAGGTTGTCCACAGGTGAGGTATGGACCACATCTCTCTCCTACGTGGTTTTCAAGCTTTTCGTTTAGGCGAGCAGGTGCCCTCCCCATTGCTTGGAGGAACAGCCATCTGAGTAAGGAGGGAAGGAGGAAAAGCTGTTCCAGCTGCAGCAAGTAACACATTTCCTGGAGAAAGATCAGCTGTCTTCTGCAAGAATTTGTTCCCATTCACCATTTCATCTGGAAAATTCATTTTTGAAGCTACTCCACTCCCTTTCGTGAGCACTCAGGGCAGCAGTGAACTGGATCTGAAGGCAACGGCTCACTCCGAAATCCCCAGGGATGGACAATGTTCACAGGAGAAGATGATATGAGCTTCTGCCACCGCTAACGTCAGGCAGAGCAGGTTTTGCTCCATCTTTGGATGTGCAGATGAACCAGGGCTTGTTGAAAAGGGCTGGCAGAAAGATGCTCTGGGTGTTACCCAGAGCCAATGTTTGCCCACTCTTAGGACTTGCTGGCCCAAAGACCGGAAGGTCTTTCTGCCTTTTAAAAATAGAATTAACTTCTGAACAAGTTTTCAGTTTCAGGCCAGATTTTGGCTCCCGTTTTTCAAATTGGCAGTGGCCAGAGATTTTCTTCCTGTGCTCTTGTTCCCAAAGGGTAGTTTATATTTTATTGGGGGGGTCAAGGGGGTTTGGTTATCAGCCGCCATGGGGTGGTGTCCCAGCTCGGAGGGGTCTCCCAGCAGGAGCAGTTGTGGCTCTTTGGCCCTTTTTATTTCAGCGGCAGCTTCAGGGGGGGAAGGGAAGAAAAATATGAGGGAATTCGGAAACAGGGATGCCGGGATGGATGTGCACCCTGTGTGGGAGACTTTGTGCCCTGTGTGCACCAGGGGTGCAGGGGGGGTGTGTGTCCTGCATTCCCCGGGGTGCAGGATGGGGGAGGATCCCTTGTCTCCCGGGGTGCAGAATGGGGGGTGTGTGTGTCCCGGGGTGCAGGATGGCGGAGGGTGTCCCGCGTTCCCCGGGATGCAGGGCAGGGGGTGTGCGTGTCCCGCGTCCCCGGGGTGCAGTGGGTGCGGT